ACCCCACCCCCCTCCACCCACTCCCCTTCTTCTCTAGGCATTGAATTACTTGTCTTATGGGGCTGTGGGGAGGGAAAAATAAGATGATGTAGGCTAAAATTGTGTTGGAAAGTATCAGACGGAAGTGCTCAACATTATTAAATGGCTTCCAAGTGTAGGGTGATGTGTTAGACAGTAGGTGTTAGATGTAGGGCTAGGAGTGGGGATGTATTGCAAGTGGGGAGGAAGCTGTTTTCTTTTAACTGGCTATGAAGGTCCTGACCTGGGGCCCTGGTAAGGAGAATGGAGAGGGTATAAACCTGGGGGAGACTTTGAAAGAAGACTCAGCTGGCCTAGGGTGAGTGCATTGAATGCAGATGAACTGAGCCTCAGGGTGTGGGAAAAAGGTAATGCCAATGAAGAGAACCGGATAGTTGAAGTGGGGGCGTAGGAGTTGAGGACAAGCCTGCTTGTAAAACTCACTGAGTCGACGTGCCAGACAAAGGCAGTTGGGAATGTGGGCTGGAAGTGCTGTTTTGCAGGTTGGGCTGGTTATGTGGATTTAGTAGTCATCAGCCCAGATAATGACTGATACCATGTGATCATGAGCTGTCCAAGGAAGCAACATACATGGCGCTGTTTATTGTGCTCATTGTGGTTGACTTGGTGCCAAGACAACAGGCTGAAGAGGGAAGAAGCCTGTCAGTCCGCTGGTTGTCTGGGCTGCTCAGCGCCAGCCAGTGTGACAAATCTTTCCACTGTGCTGAAGACTGAGCTGACTTCTTTGGCAAGCTCCCCGATAAAGTCTTGAGATTGGATGTGTGCATTAAAAGAGATTCCAGGAATTGTCCCAAGGAACGGGGACACCAGTTTCTTGGCTCTGGTGTCACGCAGGAGCTCTTGAGGCCCTTTCAGAGGGATTCATGTTTGGGTTTGGTCCTGGAGAGGTGATGACTCAGATATCATGAAGGGTCTGGCCCACCCTGAGGACATCTGGTAGCACTGGCATCATTCTAGCATCTTCTGAGGGTCCTGGGCCTTTCATTCAGTCAGACCTGATTATTTAGCACAAAGAGGGCAGTTCCTTATTCAGGTAGCACAAGCTTCTTCTAGACTGGGATGTCCTGATGGTTTTGTTGATTTTGATGGGCTAGTGTTGGAGAGGGTAGAAGAGAAGCACTCGAATAGGGTGTTTATACCTGGGTTGTTTATCCCTGGGTTATTTCTTCATGATATGATTCCAGTCTCCATCTGTATCCTTGACTGCTCCGTTCGGTATTTGCTTTTGTGGTTCCTAGTGGCTTTCCACACCAAAATGGCACTCTTAATTGAGGTGCTCAGAGACTCTCCTGCTACTGAATTACCTCACTGGTATCTTTCCTCCCCTTCTAGTTCTCATTTCATTTTCAATTCCAGGCAATTTTGATCTCCTGAAGTAGCGCCCCCACCCCCCAACTTTCTTTTCACTTGTGCCCAAAGTCCCTAGATTTTTAAAGTCCCACTTTCAACTCACAGCTTTATGATGTCTGCTCACCTTCCATATACAACTAACTGTGGGACCTGGAAGTGTTGTCACACAATGGAGAAAAAAAAAGGGATTATGTGCTAGAAAGGATTACTTAGCCATTTAAATTTAAGTGATATATGTATGGAAAGCTCAAGTTAACTTAGGGAGAAGGGAGCAGTATTGACACCCATATCTGTCAGACCATTTTTTCCCCCCTTCAAATCTTTGCTGCTTAAAAGTGTGGTCCTCACGTGGGAACTTGTGAGAAATGCGGAATCTCAGGCCCCACCCTGGACCTACTGAATCAAAATCTGCCTTTTTACAAGCTTTCCCAGGTGACTCCTGAGCAGGTTAAAGTGAGGATCACAAGAGCATTGTTCAGACTGCTTCCAAAGCAGTTCACTTCCATAGGGAAAATTTGTTAGGATCACAGCTGCATACAGTGGACTCCAGGTGCTGTGGTGACTTTAAAGGAGGATTCAAAGTTTTTTATTGTTTTGTTTTTTTCTGAGTAATATATGCACACCATCAAGAGGGAAGTTCAGACAGCCCATAGTGGTAGCAAATGAAAATGGAAACCCTTTCACTCTCGTCCTCCCCATCCCCAGCCTCACTCCTCACTCCCTTTTAATCATTTCCAGAAATTGATCATCCCCCCTCCCTCACCCTCCTCATCTGTAGCTGACATTTTATGCTACAGCTCAAGGAGGGGAACTAGAGTCACTGTACAGAAATCCACTTTATTTATTTATTTTTTAAAAAGATTTTATTGGGGAATTGGGGGAGGGGAACAGCTCTGGGGAACAGAGAAGTTGCTGTCGTTTTTTGTTGTTCAGTCTAGTTGTGGAGGACGTTGCTTCACTGGCCCATGTTGGTATTATCATTGCACTATTCCCGGGTGAGGCAGATTGGTCGCCGGCCTCTGGACGGCTGCTCACGGCAGCTCTTGGCAGCTCACATCAGCTCCCCTGCAGCCTACGCCGTCGTCATCGTCGGCGACTCACGGCAGCCCAGCTCCAGGTCGAGCTGTTGTTCACCATCTTAGCTGTAGAGGGCAGTGTCACTGACTCTCATGTGGGATCCGAACTGGGGTCTGCTGCTCAGAGCTGGTGTCCCAAGCAATCTCTTAACCAACGCACCACTCAGCCGGCCCCAGAAATCCACTTTAGATTTTAATTAGGCTCGGATGAATTTGTGAACATGCCAGAAAGTTGGATGTGAGCAAGTCAAAGGGGTTGAGTGAGGGAGCCCAACAGCAACACCCTCAACAGGGCCTTATTATTAGCAAGTTTTAATTGTTTCAAACTCTCCACTAATTTTAAAAACAGGGCAACCTACTTAGTGGCTCACTTATTCCTGTCATTTGCTGTTTCTCCTTTACGGAGACAAATTCTGATAGCGGAGGAGTGGACACCTAGACACTGTAACTTCTTTTACCCTTTTAGATCAGAAAAGGACAGATGGTGCCTGCCATGTGCTGGTCTTTTTTTTTTTTTTCCCCCTAACCCCCAAATGTAATTTATTAAGCTCTTTAATTTGTAAGGAGAAAATAATTGAATTTTAGGATACACTTTGGGGCCACATTGCAGAAGACCCGTATTTGTAGTGATAGTTAACTTGTTCTTGTCATTTTAAAAAAACAGCTTTATTGAGGTAGAAATTGTATGCCATAAAATTCTTTAGTTTTAAGGGTACAATTCAGTTTTTTTTTTAGGAAATTGACTGAGTTGTACAATCCTCATTGTAACTCAGCTTTAGAAGTTTCCTATCACCCCAAAGATCCTTGTGTCTGTTCGTGGTCAACCCCATTTGTTCCCCAGCCCCCAGCCTGTTAATCTACTTTCTATTTCTATAAATTTGCCTTTTCTGGGCATTGATGTAAATGGAATCATACAATATATGGTCTTTTGTGACTGGCTTCTTACACTTAGCATAATGTCTTTGAAGTTCATCCACATTGTAGCATATGTTATTATCAGCATCTCATTCTTTTTTATTGCCGAGTAATATTCCAGTATATGGATATGCCACATTTTGTTTATGCATTCAGCAGTTGATGGACATTTGGGTTCTTTCCCTGTTTAGCTAATGTGAATAATGTTGCTGTGGATGTCAATGTGCAGTCTTTGTGTGGATATACGTACGAGGCCTGACAATTAAGGTGGTGAACTCATCCTAGAAAAAGTGCTACATATCTCATTGCTGAATATCACTATGGTCACCTTCGAAGTACTTTCTTGGGAAGCTATGCACCGATGCTAGTGCCTGGTCCACCCTCCAAAGCAATTTTGGAATTCTTTTTCTGGAATGGCCATGAGATCTGTCATCCTATTACCCTTGATGTCCTGAATGTCATCAAAATGTCTTCCTTCAATATTTCTTTTATCTTTAGGTAAAGAAAGAAGTTATTAGGGGCCAGATCAGGTGAATAGGGAGGGTGTTCTCATATAGTTATTTGTTTACTGGCTAAAAAGTCCCTCACAGACAGTGCCGTGTGAGCTGATGCATTGTCGTGATGCAAGAGCCATGAATTGTTGGAGAAAGGTTCGAGCTGTCTTTTTCATGCAGACTTTTCAGCACTTCCAAATAGTAAACTTTTATTTTGGTCCAGTTGGTACAAATTCCTAATAAATAATCCCTCTGATATCAAGAAAGTTTAGCTACATCGTTGCAATAATTTGGTGAACTTAATTGTCAGACCTTGTATGTTACCATTTC